GCGACCGCGGCGTCGCGTCGGCATGGAAAGACGAGGCATGGTAGACACCCTCCAAGACGACGGAAGATTCATTTGACGGTCTGGTAATTTGCACTTCGTAATTATAACGTTCCAGGAAATGTCGCCTCCGCGCGCGAACGTCGTTATGTCACGGATAGAAGTAATGCGTGTAATTTAATCCTCATATCACGTTATTTTAAATACTAACAACTTCCGCGTCTGCGCGCGAGGTTTTTCCACCGAGATGGACTTTTATTTTCCTCAATTAGGACGTTTCTTCTAAAAAGCTCTCGTAAAATCTCGTTAATTGCGTGCAGGGGATCTCTTTTTTTTTTTAAAGCTGCATCTCGTGCAGGTGCACCTAGGTGGGAAGAAATGAAAGGCCGAACGAGATGTAAGGAGGCTAATATCTTCGCGGTGCAAAACTGCAAATGGATCGGCGAACACGGCGAACCAGTAAGGACCAGTACGGCAATTTGTATGTGGGCCACGAGAAAGTCACACGAGCGCGCTTTTTTCCCCTCTCACGGGGATATATTCGCGCGTCGAACGATCGTATAGTATTGGGCTCTATTGTTTTTTTTTCCTTTAGAATAAAAGAAAAAGAAAAACTTTTGTCTTCGTAATTAAAAAAAAAAAATACAATAAAGATAACGTTGCGAGCTTCACGAATTCTGGTAGTAAAATTCTGTAGGTTTACGTTATAGTCTTCTGCTAAAAATATTCGCGACGTTGGTATCGTGAAACAGGCCATGTGTATTACAAATCGCTCGCCGAAACATCGGATATTATAGATCAGGCGGTATACGGCGGCAGGCTCGCCCGGCGCCGATGCACAACTTGGCATGACGTCGATAGTTTGCAGCTGTTTCGATTAAGCCTCCGCGGAATCAAGGAAGCGGCCGCGGTATAAACGCGTATACGCATCCACATGAAATGACGCGATGACTTTCCACTTGGATTACAAAACGTAGGCGCTGCGCGAGAGAAATAGTAGCGCGTAAGACCTTTTATTATGAGAAATGAAGATGACTTCAGCCTGCATCGCCAATATTTAATTCGCATTTCTTTCGGTATGCAGCGTGACTGTGGCTTCACGCGGAGATACCTAATGTATCTGCAGGTAAGCTTTCAAGTAGACTTATTTGTAACCATTAATGTCTAGAGTGTCTAAACATTGATGCATCCTCTCAGGTTTTTTTTTTTTTAGACAAATGAGCTTGTGATTCTTTCTCTCTTTCTCAATGAAACGCGCGACTTCTGGGACATTTTGTATCGTCACTATCTTATTTAAATTCCAGAATACTACAGAATAGGCTCCGACATCTGTTAATTTCGATTTCTTCCGTAAGATTTAGTTCGATAGGTTGCTTGTGGAATTTACAATCTGCCCGCGCGAAGAAATTTATTATCGACAGATTATATCATCAGATATATCTCAGATGAGAGAGAAAGAAAGAGAGAGAGAGAGAGAGAGAGAGAGAGAGAGAGAAATCTATGAGATTTGATTTTCTATACCATTCTATATAAACTTAAAAATTTTATAAATTTTAAAATATGAAAACAAAAAAGTGCAAAAATACAATACAGTTAAAAATTTATTATTTAGTTTTTGTAAATGAATATTTTCAAATAATACAATTGTCGAGCTTTTCCAAATAATTTATTTGGTATTGAACTTTATCATATCTTTTTAATTTGCAAAATGTTTTAATAAACTGCGGGAGACAGGTGGTACCAGTCGAAAACGCTTTGCACTTCCTGTTTCTTTAGGACAGGTAGGGTGGATTTCGTGTAGTGGCAGCAGAGGTGAAACAAGGCATCAGGCAAGGCCAAGGTAAAGGTAAAAGGTAAAGGAGAGGCATGGGGAATGCGGGAAGAGAAACCATGCGCGGCGAGCCTCGCAAAAGTCAACGAACCTAAATCGGCGTATTCGCGATAATGCGCATAATTCACGGACTATTTCCTCCGTAAATTTCGATAAGTGTGATCCACGCCACATTTTTAATTATGAAAACATGTATACATATATAAAGATACATATTTTAGTGCGATGTGGATGTTAGATGCATAATTCTGATGTTTTCGAAATGGACACATCCGCGATGTAATTCTCTCTCGTGCTTCGGAATACGCGTGTGTTTAAACATTTAGACACATTTATTCATACAAAACGCGATAAATAATCGAGAGGTCGCGTCTTCGACAATATATAATGTGGAAATTAACACATTCTTTGGGCGTCGTGTGCGTCAATTTTCATACAAATAGGATCCCACTTTTGAATCACGTTAAAGTGGAAATCTGATTTACATCCCTTGCCGTTAAAAATCTCGAAAGCTCGGGAAGAATGGTCGTATTTATGTAACGTATGCACGGACATACGTCATAGAGAGCCTCGCTGTGGCTTATCCCGTGTATGGTTTATCACACAGACAGAGGCAAACGACCGCCGCATAACTTACAACGCGCCCCGAGTCGTCGGCGAATAAACGGAGTTAACGGTTGATCGTCTCGTATAAGATGCACACAGAATCAGTTTTAGGTTTTGCTTTGTGCCTGCTTCGCGCGACACGGCCGTCACGCCATGTAACCCCACCTTCTTAAAATAATATCGCAAATCACTGTTGTGACACGTTCCTTTATTAAATAGCATTCACGCGCCAATGATGATATAATGTGAAACGTACGGGGCGTATATTTTTAGAAAGTCCCGATACAATACTGACTGCGACATGATGACTTGTTGAATTCTCTCGCACAAAAACTTTAAATTCATTCGACGTATTCTGTAGTAAAACGTCTCGCACGACGATCTCGGTCTTGGAATAAAACGCAATTTTCTAGGTGACAGTTTTTTTTTTCCATCAACGCACGTGTTCATGAATAACGTATCAGTACGACGGAGGAAGCGGAACAACGGTGATCCCGCGGAATCGGAAAGTCATGAGTTTCGTCGGTACAACGAATTTGAGGCGCCGACACGAACGGGAAAAGAAATCTCGACCGACATTGTTCTCTCGATCGGGAAGTGGTGCATTCGGATCGCGTGCCAACTGCGTTTGCCTTGCATATATCGCTTAATCCATGCGTAAAATTTACATAAAGGCTGCCTTTCGGCGCGTCGACTCGCCGCCGCCGCAAGCTACGAGTATTGCAAAGTGAAAGCCACGCCGAAGCTCCGCCGGCGAAGCTGGTTTTGCGTGTCACGTACAGCTGGTGAAATGTACAAACAGACAGATCGCTTCGCTTGTGGTCCTTTCTCGTAAAAGTGTACAAACCCAACAGGTGCGACAAGAGGCTTGTTACCTTTATTGGCCCGATCTATCAATAAATACTTTTCATAAAACTTCCTCGCATAAGTAAGAGAAATTTATAACGACGAAGGAGAGAGAGAGAGAGAGAGAGAGAGAGAGAGAGTGTGTGTTTTTTTATAATTATAACTCGATAAAATCTTAAAGATAATTTCAGAAAGTATAATTACGGAACGTTTCTTATATGCAGGTTGATAACGCCTGTGCTTTCCTCTAGCGTAAAGAAAATCGTTGAAGAAAGAACTATTTTCGATTTTGTCCCCAATGCACGCTCGCGATTCGGGTACAGAGAAATCGTATCAGTTACGGTGAAGGTGTGCGAGTGAGTATTCCGAGCTGCGGCATCTGTAAGACAGAATACGATCTGACGGAGCGCGTCATCGACCTCTGGAAAGCCGTCTCTCGGCGTATTTCCGCGGGCGAAATTATCGAAAGAATAAACGCGTGCGACCCCGTTGAAACCCATCTCGCGCGAGCTTGTTTCCTCTCCTTCCGTTTTTTTTTTCACTCGGTGTAAACCCTGCTCTCGGCATTATGTTCAGCCTGACATGTTAAACATGCTTCATACCTGGTTATCAGTCGATCTTCTATAATTCTCATCCGATAATAATGCAAGTATGAGAACATGAATTACAGTCGGAATTGAAATGGAAAAGAATTTCTTGCTCAGAAATACAAAACTCGTGATTGACGACGTTGTGTCTTTTTAAACAGAAACGTGGTTTTCTGAAAGGATAATGTTCTCTCTGTAAGTATATTCTCTTGAATAAGCCACAGGTCTGAACGTTTAGTCATGCTCCGAAGAAACGGATGTTAAATGGGCTGCCGCGTACGATGGGCGATGCGCTCGATCGTCTTCGTGACGAGAACAATTATCAGCTCGCGGAAGCCGTCGGCTGCCGCGATGATTTGCACAACGCCCCGTGGACGGCCGTCATTTTCCCTTCTGAATTCCATTAACGACTCCTTGGCCGGTCAGCGAAAGTGCGTTGACACGTCTCTCGAGCTGCTGCGAGAGACGAAAGCGCTTTTCTGCGCGTGTCGCGCCATAAAACGACGTCGCTTCTCTTCACCGCGCGGAAAAAAAATCTACGACTGGCTATTTGCGCTCGGTTGCAGTAAAAATCTCGGTTGTAAAAATTTATATAAGCTTCTCGGTGTCGTAAAACTATTAGAAAGCGGGGTGGTATTATACGCGGTTGGGAAAAAAGGAGCCGTATGCGCGCGGCACATGCGGGATATCACGATTTCGTGAATAATAAGTCGATAAGATTACGAGGTACAGCATCACTAGGGCTTTCTAACAAGCCCCGAGTGTTATGTGTATAGCTCGTTAACGTGCCACTCCTCGTCATCGTCCGGCATAAGCGTTTGATAAATTATTTATCCGCTCGACCTTATTTTACCGCGATCCTTTCATATTAACTTTTAGTAACTTTTAGTAACCTCTCAGCAATCGCATTTTTATGTCCTCTCAGAGGTCTCGTTTACTCGGCACGAAGCGACACTTCATACTCGATAAATTTCCTAACAAACTTTCTCGCAACAGATATTATTCGATGCAGATTTTATAAGTAGTATAAGTGATTAATGACATTTTCGCTGTTTTTGATGGCGCATCTACTTTCTACGTTTGCACTGAAAGCTAGCGGCTATATACGTGTTCTCGAAGAAATGTTTACTCACCTGGCTTTGGCCGACTCGATAGGACGCGGGGTCGACGTCGACGGTGAGCAGCATGTCCTCCACGGCGCGACGTTCGTCGGTCACGGGGCTTCCAGGCCGTGCATTCACATCGCTTGACAACAGTCCGAATCGACGTCTGAATTCACCTAAGGCCATATGCTTCGGGAATCCAACCTTGTGTAAGCGGATAGCGTCGATTATCTGGCTCCCGCGAATCTGTACAAGCACGTTAGAATATGTGCATTAGATTCGATATTAGATCTTTGTTATAAAAAGAAAAAATGAAATGCTATAGTGAAATTGATTAAACTTTATAAAAAGCGATGCCCATATTTAAAAAGTATTTTTCCGATAATGCGAAACTGATATCTTTTATTTTTCCTGTAAAAGATTTCATTTTTTTATATTCGTTTAAAGGATCTAATAACTTTAAATCTAAATCGATTAAATAACTTTACCTGTGATCGTAGAAGAGGCACATTAATGACGTTGTCCTCGCTCTGATTCGATTTCACGGAGAGGAGGCTTTTATTGTCAGTACAACCGGCGTTATGTTGAGGCAGAAGGCAGTGCACAAACTTGACGCGAGTTCTCCGCAGTGTTTCCACGAGGCCATCCTAGGGACAATTAACGATTGTACTTTTCCGATGAGCCGGAGGCGTATGACTAAAGTCGCGATAAATAAAGAATCGCCGTATTGTTCTTACTAGATAGAGCGCGAGAAAGAGAAAAATCAGCAACGGCACAAGAAGGTAATATCCGAGCGTCGTAACACAGATTTCACCGAACATTTTCAGTATCTCGCGTCTCTCGCTTAGGGCGAAGGTCAATACGCGTTAAGTTAGCTTGCACGACGCCGTGCGGCCTTGTGCGATAATGTTTTAATGGAACACAGCGATAATAGTCTGATCTTTGACACCGCGTTCGACCAATCGCGAATAAGCGGCAAGGGAACAGATCAACTGTCGATGCCGCGAATATTTCAAGAGTGATTCGAGAAAGATTGAAAATTCGCTAATAAGAGAGCAAAAATTTCGAAACGCTGTCAATTCAAATTGCCACCGGAAAGGAATCGATACTCACTACGGTGAATTTCACTTGCAGGCAAACGTTCTTTCTTTTTACGGCAGTGAATGTTCTTCGTATGCTTGACGCACGCCTCAGGGATTGCGAGCCTTCGAGTCCCGGCATGGAACCGCATAGAGCACCGGAAACTCCAGCGCCCCGAGCACTTACGAACAACTTGCTCACGTGTTCTCTAGAATTTTTTAATAACATAAAAATATAATGATGGAATTTAATTTAACTCATTATAGTTAGTTATTGAAGAGTATTTGAATAAACCGCAACATTACCTCGTGCTTTCCTGAAGTATCGTAATGGCACTCTTGGCAACGGGATTCTCACGTGTAGCTTTGAGCCAACCGGTCGCGGTGTAAAGCACGGGATTCGTTCCCAGCAGATGTTGCAAAACAAATTGATTGTTGCCCGGCGCCTTTCGCAGAAGCATTTGGTGATCTGCAACAGCGACGTATCTTGTGTTACACTATAGTTTTTACACGTAAAATTAAGGTAAATATCGAGGGCGGGAAATTAATTCTACCTCGATCGCCATAATGAGAAAATAGACGGTCCAGGAAGGTTTCGTCGCTGCCTCCAGGACACACGGTCTCCTCGTCCAGCAGCCAGAGTAATCCTTTTCGTTCCATCTGCCTGCCGCCGCTGAGATCGCTTTGACTAGTTCGCAACATTGTCGCGCTTTGCGAGCTTCCGCGATCCAGGAGGGAAACCAAACCTTGAGGCGACCCAATGCCTTCCTCGTCATAATCGTCCTCGTAATCTACATCGATGCCTTCCTGGACGTATCTGACAAATTTTTATAAATTATATTATAGCCATAATATGATTTATTTAATAATTATATAAATAATAATATATTATATAAAGAGTATTTTGTCGAGGAGTTAATCTTACAATGCTTGTATGAATAATACGTGCTATTTCTGATGGTTAAAGAGAAATCATTAAAAATTGAAGAATCTGTTGCTCATGTTCCGTACCTATCCTTTGGAGCTACCAACGTAGTATGGTGAAACAGTAACTGCAGACGTTCCTGCAGATAATTGTGGCAAAGATCTTCGAAAGTTGCACCGGTTTGTCGGCCGCATGAGGCAGGATTTTGAAAACCTGGCGAATCACACAGCAGCAGTGATGAGACTGTATGTACAGCGGATGATATGGATCTAAAAAATGACAAGGGCATTACTAATAAAATGTCAAAAGTATATATGCTGGCAAAGAGTCTAATAACTTTGTACAATGTGATCGATTTATGTTATTATTAATACTACCCAAAAAGTATCTCACTCTCAAAAAGTATCTCAAAAGTCTCGTCATTCTCTTAATTTTTTTTAAATTATTATTTTAAATAATATATAAAATATAATATAAACAAATTGAAATATTTTATGGCGTTTGAAAATTATTTAACGAGCAAAAGTTATTCATCAATCTATTTACTTGTTGATAAGAGCCGCGACGCAGTGGAAGACTTCAGAATAGAGTCCGACCAGAAGTCCCTCCAGCGCGTCAAGCCCCGTGACATCCTTGCCCTGTTCCGTCGGGCTGGGTGTCCTCAGAGCCGGTCTCGGAGTGCTCGGCGTTCCGGCACCGCCTCCGTTGGTGGCGAACACTACCCGACTCAGTTCCTCTACCGTAGTGCCCAGCAGATTGGCGGCTTTCTCCGCGCATTCGACCCTCGCGAACTGCCACCTGCTCTGCGAGCTGGTGCCGGCTTTCACGGCGCCGGCGCAGCTCAAGTGATAAATACCGGCCAGCACCAGCCAAATGACTTTCTCGTCGGCCTCGGAGATGCCGAGTATTCTGAACGCCGCGACGATACGATTGAACTCGACCATAGCTCGCTGCTTGTCCTCGTGCTTCTGCAGGGGCGTGACGAAAGGATTGTTTTCGGCGACTAGATTCGTGAGGTGTAACTCTTTCCTCAGCGCGCCCTCCGCGCCCGCTAGTAGACGATAAACGGCGTGAAACGTCGGATCCCCGTTCGCTCGTCGGCCTATCCTCGACTTCTCCAGGAGCAGCACCTTGGGAGAGAAGATGGAATGTCATTTATTTTACAATGTAAAAGGAGGATGGGTGACACGAGGGAAGAAAATGTGTTCTTCTCACTTGCAGAGAGGCCGATGCGATTTGACCCGACTGATCGAAGTCGAGGCTGAAGAGCTGCGTGAAACGCGTCGCGTTCGAATTCATGTGAGTCCTACTATTTCCGAAGGCCTCAAGAACTGTGAATAGCGCATTCAGCTTCTCGATCGTCAATATCTGTAAGAAGGAACGATCGCTCGCTCAGAAACAATCCGTACGGAAAGCGTTGGCGGCATGTCATTTCCACGCTTCTACTCGCCTTGTTAACCGTACCAGCGGCCAGCACGAGATAATGAAGGGCGTGTTTGAAGTTCGTAGTTTTCCCCGCTCCGCTACGCCCGAGGAAAACCAGAGAGTGGTCCCTGCGTGTCGCCAGCATTCCTCTGTAAGCCGATTGCGCTGTGGCATAAATATGCGGCGGCATGTCTTCGCTTTTGCAACCTCGGAACATGTGCGCGACCTAGAGCGAGAAGGAGTGGAGAGAATTTTAATTTTAGAGATAGGCATCTTAAGCGTGAAAAACATAACAGATGTGAAATTTAATGGAACATAAATCGATACGAAATTTGTTAAGTTCCCTCGTAGAACACAAGTCGACCAATAAAATTAGAATTTTATAATTTAGTCGAATCGTTCTACGACGAGAAACTAAGGTATAAGTTTAAGTAAACTTCCAAAGCGGCCTTGCCTTTTCAGAATAAATTGCTAATGGCGCGACTGGATTGATAACGATCATGCTGTCTCCTGCGTACGTGTGTATCAAGTTACTGGCGTAACGTTGCCGCAGCGTGTGGAGAACGGATGATTCATTCAGAAATCGCAACTGCGAGAGTTCCTCGGCTTTATCGAACTGAGGTGGATTCGCCTAAACAGATGCAAACAACGATAAGTTATAATGATATACAACGTTTAATTTAATTGATTAATAAGCGTGCCTACAATCAGCGTGCAGTTAAAAGTTAATTATGAAGAATCTTGGGAAGTAATCATAATACCTTCTCTACATCTTCCTCGTCCACGAGCAACTCCTCTCCGGAAATAGTCAATCGGATCCTCAGTTTTCCTGTGTCGGGATCGGCGGAACCGCATCTTGTGGCCGGAGTAAAACCTCCGCGATGCAATAACCAAATTCTTTCGGAACTTAACCATGCTTGCTCCTGCGCCAGATGTTCTTCCGACCGCGCCTGTGCATAAAAAAGAATCAGATAACATATCAGCACGCGCGAATTATTTATAATGTATTTAAAAAAAAAAGCGCAAGAAGATAAAAGGATATTTCTTATATTGAAATTCGCTATTATAAAAATGAAGAACTCGAAAAATTAAATTTTGTTTACATGCAATTTTGACTCGATAAATAAGTCTTTTTAAGTGTAATTAAAAGTTATATCGAATATGGGATCTTTTCTTTTCTCGAGTGTATCTTATTCAAGAGAAGATTCAGCGAATTAATTGAATTGTCTACGTTCTTTCAAATTGTCTACATTCTTCTTCGCTTTCACAGTCACGCGAGCTCCTCCTTTTTTTTTCCACGGCGCGAAACGATCGACCACGTAGTGTTTTGAGCTTTATCGAAGTCTCCCCACTGGCAATTTACTAAGCACGGCCTAGCGAGGACAGCGAGCACACCTACACGATAAAGTTGAATCGACGACGTCCTCGACGATCTCGCTACCGGCGCGGCGGCGGTCGGTCGCGAGTGAATCGTTATGAAACGTCTTATTGCGTGGCTGCGCGGTGTATTACTACTACAGACGAACGGACCTGCGTACCATTAACTGCGGCTACTCATTAACATCCAAATGGCATTCATTCGATCCTTTCTATTTCTATCTTCCCTCATTTTCATGTGTCCTTCTATACCACTTCAGGATAAAATGACTGTTATCTCTCGAAGGCATAGAAAAATAAGCGTCATCAATTTGTTACTTCATATCGAAGCAATGTCTGCATTGAAATAGGAATACAAATGGTCTTGTATTGGCAATATTGGCGATTTCCATACTGAATATTATCAGCATGTTTTATTACCGATTACTTTTAATTAATTAAGAGACGCTAATTGAAATTATGTAATCGTTTAGACGATTTGTTAGCGTATCGTTAGATTTTACGCGAACGAAAGTTAAGCGCGCGTGTCCCGCGGCTCTGTTCTCTTTAAACCCGTGAATCACTCGTGCGTCGAGGTGCAGCTGCGAGTTCTCGCGTATCGATTTCCGCATCGAGCAACTGCGGAGCGGTGACTCGTGTATGGCTCCACCAGGTAAGGAAGACAGACAGCAAATTTCCTGGTACATACATTACTATGTATCAGGTCTTGGGGCACATTGGTAGCGCATAACACGCCATTGTTTTGCGAATACGCGGCAAACGCCGCTCCTTCAAAGGCCTAAACGAGGGGATTGTTTGAATATTACGAGTTTGCCCTTTAAACGCGTCTCACGCGCTCTCACGCGATGACAATTTGTCAGAAATTTCCTGAAATTCTCCGAAGGCGCATATTACGCGAAATGAAGATGAAGCTTTATGCTCTAATCGCGAGATTGCACAGAACATCTCAATTCGTTTTATTGAAATTGATAGTTTGGTAGAGAATACTCTCTAACAATAAGACAAATTGATAGAAGAGAAGTAAGTTGATTCTTGTATCATGATTATTTCGAAATCTTTATGTGTCGAAATCTTTACTTCACAAGAATTATGAAATACATGATTTTGACATTTTTTAAATCGTTTTCCATTGAGAAAAATTATCTTCCGTTGGTCCAGATTGATGACTTCTGGACGAAATTTTCTTCGAATCTTTCGCGAAACATACCTTGTCTGTTTGCGGCGTCACTTTATTTTCCAGCAGGACCTCGAGGCGCTTCATGCACTCTCCTTCGTCCTTCGCGCGACTACTTTCTCCGTCACGTTTCACACTCTTTGTTACGTTCGACTCCACTTTTCCGTTCTCCCGTATTTTCCGCCTTATCTTTCTGGCCAGGGCCATCTCGAACAGTTCCTCCCATTCGATGATATCCTGAATCGGTTTCGCGCATCTCTGGTGACCCGGCCGACTCCGTTTCGATACTTTCTTCGAGTTATTGGACCAATTATTCTTGAAACCGAACATCCGGAGGCCATTGTCCATGCTCGGTATCCTCTGCTCTATTTCCGCAGTGATCCTATGCCACTTGCGTTCCCTCGGCGTCCTGATGACGTTACTGTCATCCCAGCCCTTTTCCATCCTCTTGATCTTATCATTCATGCATCCTACGCGCAAAGAATCCGCCCAACTCTCCTTCTTGAAGCTTTTGGTAGCTCGTAATGACGGCGAGCACTGATTGCTCCCGTGAGATCCTTTGATCCTCTCTTTGGCATTGGATTTAACGCTCGACGATCGTTCGAGGCCGCGATTCGGGTTGATCAGTCGATTCTCCGTACAGCCGTTTTGTCCGATCTCGGAGGAGTGCATGCTGTCGCTGTCGCTGCACTCCCACGAGCTCGTGCTATTTCTGCTGTGCTTCCTGTCGACGACAACGCCGTTGCTGAACTCATGCTGCTTCGAGAAGTCCTGCGTCGGTGACTTCGCGATTTTTTGCGGGGAGAGGCTCTGGAGATTGTTTCGTTTGGCTATTCCGCTGGCGTGAGCCTTACCTCTGCAAGATCTGTGAAGAAGATGATGTGCACCGAGCGACATATTGTCGAGCTCATCCCTGCTGCGCGGCATCTTCTTGGTCTCTCCTTAAAGAAGCAGGTTTCACGTTGTCACTTTCCCAAAGCAATTATCACTAATCCCGACGGGGTCCCCCTCACGCTTTCCTAAGTTTACTTGAAAATTCACATGTATAGAATTCTTCATTAACCGTCGGAAACCGAAAATTTCTTCATTCACTTAGCGCGACAACGTGAGATTATTTCTTGAATGTAAGATGTTTGGTAATCATGATACTTCGTCATACCATATATGTCCCGCCTTGATTGGTATCCACTGTTGGTGAATCATTATTTCCTATTAGCTCTACATTTTCCTTGAAGTTACGGCAAGTAATAGAAAACATCAATCACTATATTTTCCACTCGCAATTCGCTACATGATGTATCTTCATAAGCAGTTCTCGTGCAGCATCACTGATCACCGTCATCGATCGAGATGTATCAATTCATAAAGACGTAAATCTCATCGCGCGAATCTGTCAATTCCTCGGGGCGTTTCTCCTGGTTTCCGTTTTAAAGAGTTTCGACAAACGGCTGGTATCCGCGAGAACTGAGACGCGGCTTCCTCCGGGTGGTCCTTTCATGGCTCGAGACGGCTGCGACGGTCACGAGGACAGGACCCGATCACGAGGAGCATCACGGGGGAGCTCCCGAGTGTCGACTGAAGCAACGCTGGTGCTCCGAGACAGAGACAGGTCCTCTCGTTGAGGAGAACCGAGGAGAACGAGAGAGGCGTGTGCCCACGAGAGCCGCCCGGGAGTTCTTTCTCTCCATCACGAAACGTAATTCTCCCGCTCGCTCTCCACGTTCCTCCGTCCTCGTCTCCCGCTTCCGTCGCGCAGATGTCCCCTCTCTTTCCCCCCTTCCTATCGGTCAGCCGTACCATACGCTCGGCTTCGGTTACTTCGTCCTTCCTCCGCGATTTGTACAGACAGCGAACAGTCGGCTAGTAGGCCGATCCGATTCCACGGCGGTTGCGGATTGAGATGCAATTAGCGCAAATTTGAAGATCCAGGTGAAATAATTCGACATCTCAAATCGTATATTTTTTTGCGACATAACACCGTTTTGACCATTTCAGTTAGAAAAAGATTAAATCCATAATTCTCTACTCCCAATGAAAAATCCGAAGTTTTGCGTTTAATATATATTATTTAAAATTAAAATTATTTAACACGTTCATTCGTTTAATCTATATAAATCTTCTGTTGAATCTAATGGTATAGATGCATTCATTGTCTGAAGTTAAATGGCAAGCTTCCTCTTAGAGGCCACGGAACCCAACTTACGGAAGCGTAACGTGAGTGCAACGAGGAATCATTTCTGAGAAATACTCGACTCGATCGCTCGCTTCAAATACATGTAGCTGCCGTCTAGAGTGCAAAGCTCCCGCACTTTCGAAAGCTTCGGAACGGAGATGCGGAGAAAATGCCGGGAGAAGTATAGAAGTGTTTATATATAGCTTTCCTCAGAAGGGACTTCTGGGCAGGCACGGGAAATGTATTATTTAAGTTACTCTCGGTCTTAGTCTTGCGCCTCTTGAGCATGAAAACTAGCATATAATAATTTCTTTTTTATAGTCCCGTACTCTGTACTTTGCGTTTACTAAAGATACGTTTCGCTAGAAAAAAAAATACTATCTAGCTTTTTTCTCAGTTCAAGTTCTACATCCCGGCAGCTATCGGATGGAATTACACCGTCGCGACGTCTTTATTTTGTACATGATTATAGATGTGGCGATAAGAAAATCGCTCTTTCAAACCTGAGGAAATCATTCACGGATCGGTCACGTGCGGTGCGTCGAAGTCGACGAGACTCGGTGCGTGCACCGCACGTGCGCGCAGCCAAGAGGAGCGCATTCGTGAAGTTTCGAGGGAGCACTGCTATTTTAAGAAACTCGTAACACGCGAGATTGCGTCCAACTAAAGCGGAGTTACCCGACGGGCGGACATTGCCACAAACACGCGTCTGTATACGGGGACGTAATATAACGACGCAGCCGGTGTTTAGCTCTTTGCGGTCCGCGAGGCATCACCGCCGCGGCCATGTTGGTCGCAGGAAACGGCCGCAGAATTTCTCGATGTACGATAATTCGCTCTCTCTCTTTTTGCATATCGGCAATATCCAACTATATATATATATGCAAGATGATGGCATATCGGTTGTAACAAGGTAACTGATAAGGAAGCACCCCGCTCCTTTAGCTTCCTTCCTCGTATCAGATGAAACTCGCGAAGTAGGAGCAACTTGGAAGAAATAAATTCATTCAAGGACGTGTAGCGTTCGATGAGCTGTGAGGAAATGAGGCAATTAGTTTTCTAAACGTCGCTATTCTAGGTTTTAAATTATGCCAGGCCGATGACGCACCGTCGTTATTGTTCGACAATAGTGCGTGTATTCAATACGGAGACGAGAGGAACGTCGTGAATCGATCGTGACGTGTGGGTGGATTGCTATACGACAATTTCTCCGTTACATTTTGCCT